TGGGCTAGACCCGTGGCAGCAGCAGGCCGGACGGCCCCTTTCACCGGAGCGCTCATTTCGCCCAACTGTGGCCGGCCCGGTTTCTAGCACCACTTGAGCATACACCTCGAACAGCGGTACTGCTGCATCGGAGTCTTGTCTTCAAGGCAATCGGAAACTACGCTTCCGGAGAGTTGGGGAGTTCGGCCCCGCAACGGCTTGAGCTAATCTCCGTGGCCCTGCATCTGGCCCTGCAGCTGTAGGGCCTTGGCACGACTTTCCGCGATCACCCTCCGGTCCAGCTCAACCGCTGTCCGGCTGTGTCCGCATTTCGCACCGTCTGTCAACCCAACAGACCATGTATGCCTTGAACTGTAACCTCTGCCTCCGTCTCTCCGCCCGGTCCGCCTAGACCCATTCCTGCTGGGCGATTCGGCACGAGACAGGTGTGTCTGGTTCAGCCTCTTCTTCCCCATCCGTCTCGATGCATATGACTTCAAATGTAGCCTCTCATTCTTTTATTATTTCATTCATCCGGCTTATTACCTCCACTCGGATTTTGCCAAACGGACCGGCTTTCACACAAGGCCGCCTCGGCAACCACAAGGCCCGAGGGTCCGACTGAGCCGTCAGAACAGGTGGAGGCGAGAGAAGAGGAGACCGAGAAAATACGTTCATTTACGCTCATGCTTGGCCGGATGGCTGTGTCTATTTTGCCTCTATTTGTCTGTGTGTGTGTGTGTGTGTGTGCACACTTTGGCCAAAGCTGATTGTGTGTATGCGTGTGTTTGTCTGTGTCGGTGAGTGCTGATTAGATTAGCCCAATCCGGATCAGAGTGACATTCGAGCTGTAATTAGTAGACGTTCAACCCGCTTTCGTCTATCCTGTCTGGCCCGCTTATCTTCGAATTGATTGGGATTTCGAGACTATGACTAAATCCTGACCAAGGGCTTTTAGTCACCCTAGGCTACTTGAGGTGATGACGGACTGATAGTAAATTTTCCCTAAGTCACATGAGTAGAAAAGTTGGTCAAGATGTACTTCCATACAGGTTTGAATGCACTACAGCCTCAGTCTGGCCGGAACTGCTTTCAGCACCGTCCTCAACGGGACTCGAACGCAGGCAGTTCAGCCAGTAACTCCGACATGTTAACATTTCGCCAGACTGCCACGAGTGCCAGCTGATCCCTGGACAGTATTGCATTTCTAACCAAGCTAAACCTCGCACATATGACATTCGCTTAATACTGCGACTATCGCTGAATCAAACATGTATTTTTCATAAGAGCTGTATTCACCCTATTTCGCATAACATGAGGAAGGACTGGTAATTGAATTTTCCCACAATCATATGAGTGGGCCTTATATTTCCATTTAATTTCACATAGCCTTGCTTTCCAAAAGGTATTCTCATCCAGGTAGGTATCGACTGCGGTTTCGACTATCAACACCCCTAGAGGGATTCGAACCATGAAAGTGTAGCATATAATCTTTACATGTTACACACTAGACCAAAATGCCACGAGCGCCTTTGGGTCACAGAGCAGATGTGAATTTCAGGGAAGGCCAAACATTTTTCTATATCATATTGTGGGGCAGGATTGTCGATTAAGCAAAGTTGTATTTGCCATAGCTTTTTGAGACCATCAGTAAATCTTATATAAGAGTTGTATATTCATTATATTCGGTTTACAGTTGTGAAGGACTGGTAGGTGAATTTCTCCACCATCATATGAATAGTCGGCCCACTCATTTGATTGTGCGAAAATTCGACCACCGGTCCTTACTCACCTTAAACAAAATGGGGTTAATACAGCTCTTATATTAAATCTGTTGGTGGTGTCACAAAATCTACTTCTGAAACCCAAAATGTAGAGACCATGTTGTTGCAGCTTTAGTTCGTTTGAAGAAGCTAGCGGAAGGTAAGTCGGTCTCATCGGAAAACGAAATGGTTTCGTAGGATCTTGGTTGATGCGGATTGGTAGAAAGAACTACCATTATCCTCAACCACGGCATGATCATGGCACTGTCTGTCGTGTCACTCGTTCTGTTATGGGACTGTTCAAACAGAAGAGGCTATCAAATATGTCGCCAACTTGTAAGTGTGTAGACGATCTGTAACTCGGTGTCAAGATTGTCAAAACGCGATGTTGGCGTGGCTTCGTAATCTGTTATCAGTCACAGGTCCGATTCATAGGGGAAACATGAGATATGAGAGTATCTTCACCGAGGTCTTCATGACACCATGAACAAAATGTGGAGACTAGTTGACAATTGCTATACATTTGGTTGCAGCTTTTCGGATACAAAAGATGGTAGTAAACAAAGGCACGACGCCATATTCTCACCTGAATTCACCTAAAGGATGTGTCCGCACACTTGCAGTGGTACTCGAACCAGAGTGGTATGAAGCATGCTTTTCTGTGGACCACACAAATCAAGGCGCGTTCACCTACATGGCACAAATTCGCGGTTCGAATCCGGCGTTCTTCGCGCTTGACATCGTTTCATCGGAATTCTTGATGGATCACTCACATCGGCAATTTTTTTGGGATGTTGAGCTTATTTCAATTTCTAGAGAAATTGTCTGGTGAAGATATTCGAAGTTTGATCCCACGAGAAGACGACGATGGATTCGATTGGCTTTACTGGAACATTAGATTTTATGCTTTTTCCGATGAGGTCTCTTTCGATTCCGATGAAAACATGCTGAGCTGTCGTCCGTCTTATGACGAAAGTAATCAGCGCAAGGTATCATCCTTACAACCAAATTAAAGCTAACGAGTCAGGAAAACTCACCGGCTTACCTCTAAAATGATGTATATATACTTTATATCTGAGCTTTTTGTTGAAATAAAGTGATTTCGTTAGTTCCAGTCATATATCAATCACGAAGTATGAGAGTGTGTATAACTGTGTATATTCCTGCATGTGTTCACATATGAACGAAACTGACAATGCTGGCTTAAAGTAATGAGAACAGAAAAACTAACTTCTTTCCTCGGCCCTAAAGACTTGATGACCATCATCACCCAGACTTGTGTCAGACTGCTCAATCGGAGGGATGGTAAAAAAATATGCATATTATATTGCGCAAAGTCTGACACAAGTCTGAGTAATGGTGGTCATCAAGCCTTGATTGTCAAGAAAAGACGTTAGTTTATCTGTTCTTATTGCTTTGAGGCATGTGCGAACACATGCAGACACATACACATACACAAACGGACACACTCGCATGTTTAGAGGTTGACATATGACTGAAACTAACCATATCACTTTATACCTTATCAAAGAGCTCAGATGTAAAGTATATATTCAGCATTTTAGGGCTGATTCAGTGAGTTTTCTTGTCTCGTTAGTTTGATTATAGTTGTAAGAACGATACACTTCTCTGATGATATTCGTCATACCACGAAAGATAGCTTTTAGCGGATTTAAAGGAGGCTGCTTTGACGACGGCTTTAGCCAGAATGTTTCAGTAAAGAGCTGGTCACTAGAAATCCGTTGTGGGATCAACCTTCCAATTTCTGCTACAAACACTTTCACTCGAAATGGATGTGAGCTCAAAAATTATAGATCCGGAAATTCCTCAACTCTCAGCTTTTCTTCTCTTATTTCCTTGAGTTGTAGCTCACTCCTTAAGATAGCATTGCCGGCAAAACCGCTGAGGAACTCAGTCAGAGGTCTGGTGATGGAGTAAAGCGCAGTCAAGCATTGACAGATAATGCAACAAGGGATTCAAACAGTGAATGTAACTCAAATCGTATTCTGCATAGCAACGCGTTACCAGCATTGCTGGTTTGATTCATTCTGCCTAGATTTATTGTGGCTGCAATCACGATCTGTCCCCAGTGCACATGTCGCATCGACTATCAACCTCCTGAAGGCCGTAGCCCAATTAGTAACAACATTTGATTTGTTGACAATTTGCGACGTTCCCATGTTTCCTGTTGATGTCCGAGTGACGTCGAAGAAGATGCCCTCAAACTGCTTCTTCTGACAGTATTTCCCGATTTTTTGACATCCACAAATGTCATTGCCAGTACGACTTGCCAGCATTTGAAATTAGCTGTGACTCGTTCTAAAAGTTAACTTGGGTCCTCATGCCTACAAGTTGTCGTATGACTGGTACCTTATAAAAAGTCGGTGGCTCCATCAGTATGCTGCTGGGCGAGGACAGGAGTACAATAACGAAGCACACAGTTCGGAGTGCCTTCTTCAGAGTCAACTTGAAGAGAGGAGGTGGTGCGCAAACGACACTAAGTCAACATTCTTTGCGACCGTGTCGAATCATATCTCGAGAAAACTTGATAGTTTTCCAAATGCTATGGGAGCCGGTTGTGAAGATAAGTAGAATGCTAAGAGGGAAAAGCTTTTTAATAGTTGTTTTTCCTTCTCCACCCATTCCAAAGGGTCGTTCTCATCTCTCTGCTACATCCCTTCGGCAACACGACCA